TATATTTTAAATTATATTTAGATTTATGTATTAAAATATTTGTAATTAAAAATTACTCATAAATATAACAATATCCATTTTTATGATTTCAATTGACAGAGTAGATTTATAATTACAAGATCAAATTTTAATAATGCAGTTTAAATATAATTTTATAAAAAATACATTTCTAAGTCTGATACAAAATGAAAGTGTAAATATTTGAATTCAATTAATATTAATGATAAATATTTAAAAAAAAAGCCCTTTGATTATAGTTGTATATAATTTCATTAATTTCATATTAAAAAGTGATTCCAAAGATGTAAAAAGACATTATTTTAACATGTAATGAAAAAAATTTTTATATTTCTTATCACTTTATCTTTAAAGGTGTATATTGTCGATTAATTTAATATTTTTATCTTATGGTTCGATGCTTTATTGTAATCTTTATATTTTGATAGCTCATTTAGAATTTTTAAATGTGATAAGAAGAGTTCATTTTAAAATTGATAAATGAATATATATATAATATAAACTTTATCCAGCATTTTGAATTGAATATATTTCTATATTTTCATTATTGTTTCTTTAACATACCTAAAGCACTAAGCCTTTTTGTTTGTGCTTCCTCATCTTAGGGATTGATTTTTAAAGCATTATCATAGCACTTAATTGCTTCCTCAAAACGATTTAATCTATATAATGTATTGCCTAAAATAAAAAAAATAAAAAATTCAAATACCTTTATTATTGAATGATAAAAAATTATTAGGATTGATTGTTAAGGCTTTATCATAGCACTTAATGGCTTCCTAAAAACGATATAAATTTTATAATGAATTGCCTAAATTAAAAATGAAAAAATATTACCTTTTTTATTGAGCACATCACAATCTTAAGGATTTATATTTAAAGCACTATCATGGCACTTAATGGCTTCTTCAAAACGATTTAATTTATATAATGCATCTCCTAAATTAAGTATAAAAAAAATCGGTTACCTTTGTTATTGAATGCTAAACAATTATTAGGATTGATAGTTAAAGCTTAATCGTGGCACTTAATAGCTTCTTCAAAACGATTCAATTAATATAATGCATTGCCTAAAATAAAATAATCAAATCATATACCTTTGTTATTGAATGCTAAACAATTGTTAGGATTGATTTTTAAAGCATTATCAAAGCACTAAATTGCTTCCTCATAATTATTTTAATTTAGTAATGAATTGCCTTGATTAATATTATAAATGAATTGATTTACCCTTTAGGAGATAATTTCCTGCACTAATACCATCTTTTGAAGAATTAGGTTAGAATTTACATGCTTCATCATCTTATTCATAATCTAGTAATTATTTGCCTACAATTTTTTATCTTTTTTATTCATCTTTCAATTATAATTCTTAAGCTTTTTATTTTTTCTAAGTTTCGATTGAGTCTTATTATTTTATATGACTTGAATTATCGCTTATTTCTTATATTTTTATATCATCAATTGTAAATGTTTCAAATGTCTTAATAGTTTTATTCAATTCTTCTATGAAGGAATCTTAAAATAAAATAAAATTAAATTAATTTTACTTTATTTTTCATAGGAATCCTTTGATTACAATTATTTTAATAAGGGAATTTATTATTTAACAAATTAGTATGATTAATTTTGTAATTCAGAATCTATTTGCTTTAATATTTATATATATTATTCCAATTTTTTTTCATTTTTTTCAAATACTTAGACTAACTAACTCTTAATTTGATGATATTAAGTAATCAAGTTAGTATGTGTTGTAATATGTTCCTTGATTACGGCACTTAAATTATTGAACCTTAAGCAATCATTAGGATGGTCTTAATGTACTTTGGTCAAACATTTGAAACAAAACTAGGTGCTCTTCTAACAATCCTTATTGATGCAAAATCCCATTATTGATTCATCTTCATGATCTATGAATTGACATTTGAATACTTTCATAATTTAATTTATAAAAAAGTTTAAGATATGCTCATACCTTTATAATTTCAATAAAAATAATAAAAAAGTTTGGATATTTAATTAAAATATTAATGTTAAAATAAAATAATTAAATTTTATTAAAAAAATTATCTAATAACAACTACCAAATTCAAAATTTATATCCAATAAATTTATTTTCTAATTCAGGATATCTCAAAAAATAAAATAATTAATGGAAGGATCTCAAATACAATAGATTACTATTCTCAATATTAATTATCCAATTTCAGTTAAAAGAAATATTAATTACTTTTGAACTACTTAAGTTATTATGTTAAGCTCAAGATACATGAACAAAATGATAAAAAAATTATCAAATATCACCCATTCTGGTAATTCAAGAAAAAAATAAATTACAACGATTCAATGAAGAACCATATAATTAATATTCAAATAACTTTTTAAAGTGCCTAGCTTATCCATCTAAATAATTTGAAGAATCGATGTATATAATGATGCTAAAATTCAAACATAAGTCATGGTATGGGAAATTTAAATAATTTTTACTGTTTTCAATAATATAATTTAATTATTTAGATTAATCTAATTTTGGGTTTGTGAGACTAAGAGTTAATGTTTGCAAATGAAATGACTTGCAATAAATTTTCATCACTTTAAGATCAAAAATGAAAGATATTTGGAATTAACAGAAATTGATTATGTTTTAAAATAATTTGTTTATCAAGACTTCAGGTATGCATGTAGAATGTGTAGGGTATGTTTGAATAAGTAGAATGAATAAAAAAATAATTTAATGATTGGCTTTGATGAATTGACAATTTTATATCAATTTAATTTTTTCTTTATCCTGATACTAAAATTTTACAATCAATTTTTATAACTTGTAGATTATCCAAATCAATCTTTAAATGTTAAAAGATTTTTGATAATACGCTAAATATGAAAATATATTGTAAATTAATTATTCTTTTTCTATAAACATCAATAGAGTAACAATTTTTTATTCTAATCGAATATGCGCATAATGTCAATCGATATTGTTTTATTATTATTGATTTAACAAACACACTAAAAGTAATTCAGATTCTGAAGTATTAAATACCAGGTCTTTTACTATAATACCTAGTGTTTTATTTAAATTGTATTCTATGATTTTGTATAATTATAATTTCAGATATTTCACAACAATAATTGTAGATTAGAACACATTGATTTGATATTCTCTAATTAAGTACCTTACAATATGCTAAAGCCTATTTCATAATTTATTAATAATATTTGATAGATTATTTATTATTTTTGCAGAAATAAATAGGTGAATACTTTATAATAATTTTGCATTATTGTTCCTCTCACCACCATTTTCCTAAAAAATTTATTTAAATTTTAAAAAATATTCGGAGAGCACTAGTATAAATAGTCTATGAATTTACCTAGAAAATTCTATGTAAAGTTTTTTAGCAAAAGGGAAACTTTTTAAATCTTGAGTAGTATAACTTGGTGCAATATAATTGAATGTGGCAAGATGGAAGTTTTTAATAATATTGGTTTCAATTAAAAAAAATGAAAACAAAATACATGAAAAAAAGATTCATAATTCAATTAAAATAAACTTAATTTTGATAATTCAATAACTTCAAATTTCAGATAAATTTTTTCATTTTTCTCAAATCGAACAACTAAAGATAATTAAGTTATTTATTTTATTATATTATTATTTTTTTACCAATCAATAACTTTAATTTCAGATTTAACATATATTGAATTATAAAAAATAAATAATAATTTATACAACTTAATCTAATTTTCATTAAAACAAGTAATAAGGAAATATATTTTAAAATATAATTAATATATTTATTATATTTATGATTAGAATCAAATAGAAGAATACTATTGGATTGAATTTGATATAATTTTAACACCATAGTTATTCTTTGAAGCTAAATTTTATTAAGCTTAATTCATTAGGTATTTTTTTAATTTAAAATACCTTTGAGCTATTCTTTATTTTTAGACAATTCTATTTGATAGCAATTTTTGAAATACTGTATATTTTGTAATACATGGTAAGTTAATAATGATTATTTCCTTAATTTTATCGAACAAAACGGAATTCTCTTCTACAAAAGTCAATATTATTTCTTTGAGAATTTTTACTAAATATTGTAAATTAAGAGTAAAAAGAATAATTAAATATGGTATCTAAATTTCATATGATTTAATCTATTGATCAATATAAATTCCTATTCCAACTGCAATAGATATTCCACAAACATTTGCTGAATAAGCATCCAATTTATTTAGAATGAATAATGAATAAGGTTGATATTTTTAACTTAGTTGCCAATATAAATATACTAATGACAATAGCAAAATACCTTTTTTAACAATATTTTCATCATAATAAGATAGAAATATAATTAGAAATTATTTCACAATAATTTTAATTATTTCCCAATAATATGCTTATAATTTATATTCATTGTATAAATAACCCCATTTCTACCTTGTTTTTTTTTCATTTAATGATGATTTATTTGAATACAAAGCAATTAAAAAAAATAATGGTATTATAATAGAAATTAAAATTAATATTGGTAAGCAAAATCTGAATAACCATGAATAATGAAGTTATGTATCATATCTATAAGCAACATTAGCCTAAATCCATTAAAAACCAGATATTTATCTAAACGATATCAATGATATTAATCTACCCACCAAAAATGGTTAAAGATAAATGTACATATATATTAATGTTGTAGTTATTACATTTAAACTGTATTTTAGTTTATTTATTTTCAAAGCAATCCAATATAATAGTAAAAATAAAAAAATGTAAATAAATGGCATAATTATTTACCATATTATTCTTGAATAATGAATTTAAACATCAAACATATCTTTTAATAAACAATCAAGTGAATGAGTCATTGATTGAATTGGATTACTAATAGCAGTTACAATATTGCCTACATCTATTAATGTTTGAAATTTAAATGTAAATATGACAGAAACTATTTACAAATGATTAGTAGTCATTTTAATTAAGATACCAAAATTAGAGCGATTTTACATATTAGATCTCAGTAATCTTGCAATTATCTTTTTAAGTATCATTTATTCATTCATGGATATATTACTCCTAACTGAAATTAATATTGAGATTAAAGTCCTTAATATATAATTATAAAAATATACCATAAACTTATTGCAGTAATTACAGCAATATTTTAATTATTCTCAACACAAGAACCACAAGAATATTTTGTACTTGTTGAATAATATCCAAATCCTCTTATGTTATATATATCACATTCTTCACATAATGCTCCTACATGACCTTCATAACAAGATATATCTCCTTCTATCCATCCACCATTACAATTATCAAGTAAATTGATACATTGACTAATATAATCAGTATCAAAATATGGTCTCCAAAATCCTTGCTTTAATTTTAATTATGCTGATTTAATTTCACTAGTTGAAACATCATCTTTCTAAGAACAATTATTAGAATTTAACACTAATGAATATAAACCTTATGTTGCATTACAAGGTATACAAGTACCATCAAAAATGCTTTTAATTTCACCTAATTAACAAGGTAATGTTTTGATATTCATTCTTAAAAAATAATTATTATGATATCCAATAATTTCTGAATTTTTTCCATAAATCGGAATGAATATGGAATTACAATGAAATTATAATTATAAAGTAAGTTTCAATTAATCATCTAAGTAAAATATAATATTATCAAAATTATAATCTGATTAATTGAATGTTACATAAATAAAATTTGTAAATTCTTTTGTAAAATTTGAGTCTTCATTCTCATTAAGTATCCTACCACTTATTTCACATTCAGTATTAATTAAATTTTCTTAAACATTATTAAATAAATCCAATGGAATTAATCTCAAATGTAAATTATATGACATATATTCTTATTTTTTCCAATCAAATAATTAGTATTTAGACATTTCTTAACCATTTGGAACATATAAGTATTCAGAATAATATTTTTGAAATAATTTATAATTTCCAATCTTAATTTCTTCAATTAGAATATTATCTTTCTGTAAAACTTTTACTTTAGGTAAGACATTATCTAAATCAATAGAGACTGATAATTAAGAAGGAAGTTAAGCAAAATCATTCCCAAATTATTATCCTGTATTACCATTAATTATAGTTCCTTATTTAATTAAATTTTAAACTATTTAATCCTTTAGGAATAATCCCCCACCAAATTAAGCTTTATTAAATTAAATCACAGAGTTCAATACAAAAAAACTCTCATGCCCAATAACATATATTGACCCACCTTATGATTTAGCTGTATTTTTTTAAAAAATAGAATCTTTAATTAATGTTTTTATATCCTAAATTGAAAGACAAGTACCTTTATAAGCAAAGTTTTGAATACATTTATAATTTTGTAATCTTAAATCATATTGTTTTTCATTAATATTCTAGATTAATGATTATAAAATTCTTAATTTTTGTATAGATTTGATTACATTCAAGCAACTCTATTCCCCACATTAATTATCATTAAAAATAATTGAATTCATAATTATTTTGCTCTAATTATCCTAAATATTAATATTTAGTAATCCTTTTTTACAAATTTCACATTTAATGCTTAATAAATGAATTATTGAGATCTCTATTAATGTTGTTTATGTATCAATATCTATAAGGCTTGGTATTGTTAATTATTAAAAATTCATATAATCAATTATACAATAACTATTTTATAGATTATCTTGTATTGATTATTGCAGCAACAAAATAGGAGACTCTTAAAGGGCTGTATCCTTAGAACACATTTATTGAAGAATTTCAACCTTTTATGATAACAGAGTACATTTTTCTTTTATAGGTATTTGATTCAAGATTTATAGATTATTAACGTATAACTCTACAATTCTGATTGAAGAATTACTTTGCATCTAATTTAAACTCACTAATGAATTTTATATTATTGAGTTTGAAATACGGAGGTTTTATAATTCTATTATTTATGTCTAAGACAGAATAGCAAAAGACTCATGAAATAATGAGATGATATTAATATTATTTAAACTTACAAAATTTGCATTATTAATTTCAAACAAACTTCTACCAAATGTTAATTCTGATAATTATTGGCGATTTGCCTCGTTAAAAGTACTTATAAATTGTAAAAATTATAATTTTGAATTTTGTAGTTTAAAATTGTCAAGAATAAATTACTATTTCAATTGGGTAAATAAAGAAAAATCTACATATAAGATTGATCCCTTTAAAGAATAAACATCATTAATAACAATGTTTGAAAATGAGATAGTAGTACTATCTAAAACATTTTAAACATAAAGTAAGCCACCTTTGTTTCTACAATAAATATTAGTTGCAAATATATTTATTAATTATATCACTGAAGAAACAGAAAATGAAGTATCAATTTAAAAGGCACCACCATTTTCATCCTTATTATAATATGTAGGTGAAATAAAACTAATAATTGCATCCTAAATTTATACAGAAGATTCTTTTTCTAATTACAAATAAAGTCCTGAACCAGTAGAATTAGAAATTGTGATATTCTTTATCTTTATTTATTGACATATAATTTTGGCATTTCCTGTTTTAACTTTAATAGGAAAAATCTCTTTTATTACTTCTATAAATATTGTTTGATCTTCATTAAAACCCCAATATAAATAAGGTTGTAAAATTGAATAATCATAGAAGCTATTTTCTATAAAACTGCAATTATTTATTTATATACTTTTACTCTAAATGTAAATAATAGTATTAGAAGAGTTTGTAACAATATTTTTTTGAAATAATAGATTATTAATAAAGAATGTACAAGACTTACAATCAACAAAGAAAATCAAACCTGAATTGATTTAATCTATGTAATTATATTAATGCATTAAATTTCTTTCAAATTTTGATTATTCCAATTCTATTAGATAATCTTCTTCAGATGATATTTTCATTATTGAAGCAATGTTAATCTTATTAGTTATTAATAGAAGATTATGAATAAAATGCATTTCTGATAATCTAATATGCTTTAAGGTTTAAAATGTAAAGATAGATGTTTTAATGTCAATAATAGGGTAATTAATTGATTAAGCTTATTGTATCTTTAAATATTTAATATCAATTATTGGCACATCTTAAATTTTAATCCAAGCATAATTAAATTTATTTTAAATAGATGATTAAAAACAACCAAAATGTTAATAAAGTCCTTTAAATTTATAATTATCATGTTGTTTCATTTATATTTCATTTAAATATAATTCATTAGTATTTACTATTACTAAATCAGGTATTCCATATACTTTTTCAATTATTAATTAGTCAATTCTTATTAATTATGCTTGCAAATAGATTAAAGTGATATCCAATATATTGTAAGCAGTTTAATGTGCATTTTCTAAAAGTTAATTTTCAACCATCTATATTTAATTAATGATTATTTCCTTATTAGGTATTATAATTAAGATGAATTTAATAAATTTGGTATTTTCACTATGTTTATTTAATTAAAATTGAACATTCTCAATAAAAATATATTCAATATTAACTTTGTCATTATAAATAAGTAATGAATTGCCAAAGAGTTGATTTTCAATGAAATTTAGATTCATCAAATTTACATTTTGATTAAGATTTATTATTTTACCAGAATTAATTTCATTTGATATAAAATCTAAATAAATTAATTCAAAATGTTTTAAACTATTAATCTAAAATAAACCATTTTAAGAGGATATTTGACAGGAATATAATCGTATTTAATTCATTGATAATTCCCCCTTTGTTTAATATATAAATGCTTAATCAAAAAGTGTAGTTTCAATATTTACATTTGTTATTTCAACCTTATCATCTTCTTTAAGTTCAAGCAAGAATAAATGTAAATTATCAAATGAACTATTTATAATACTAAAATTTATTATTTTGATTGTCTAAAAGGATTCTATTTATTCAATCTTGATAAATGCTTCAATAAGAAACTTTCTTGTGCAATCTTTCACTAAAATATCTTAAATTAACACATTATTAGCATTTGTTAAAATTATATAAAGAGTTGTAAAGCTAGAGTCTTGTTAAAAGATAATATTAATTAATTCAATAGTTTATTTAAATAGACTTGTAAATTGTAGTAAATTTGGCCCAAAAATGAAATATTCTGTTTCAATTATTACTCCTTCAATATGCACTTTTTTTAAATTTACAAATAATAGTTATTTTTGAAATTTAAATGTTGTAAATCCATTGCCATAAATTTCGAGTTCTACATCTCTATAATATATTAATAATTAATTAATTACATTGCTGAAAAAATATTTGAGCTAAAATTTTACGAGATTTATAATTAATCAGTTACTATACAACTTTATTATTATTAACTAAATATTTTAATGAATATTGATTTGATTGATTTTTCATTAGCCATTTAATAAAATTCTTATGTTTCAAACTAAATTAGTTTATATAAATTTTACATATTTAAAACTTGAATTAGAGAATAAATCATCACTTAAAATATTCTCTTGTCTAAATTTTAATTTTTCTTCATCACTATATAAATCATCTATTTATTTTTCATATTCAACTTAATCACAAAATAAATTTAGATTAATAACAATTTATTTTAAACATGGACCATCTTAACAATCTATAAAAATTCCTAATTCTTAATCTAATATTCCAGTAAATCCAGAAATACAATAATAAGAAAAATAAGAATATTATTAACTCTTAAATAGTGGATTAATTGAAAGTACTTGTTTTTGATCTCTTTCATTACATAATTCACAATTTGATGGACAACTTACACATTTATTATCAATTAAACTACGACTTCTACCATTTATACCCAATGGACATTTAACACAGATATTTTTATTATTCATTATAACACATTCTAAGCAGGATTCAGGACACATTTAAATACATATATCTCCATAAAATTCATACCCTTCTTCACATATATTGCAAAGTATCTCATAATCTGAATCATTTTAACTTAACCCATAGTCAGTAAATTTATGATTAGCATATTATAAATCAATAGAAGCTCTATAAAAGGCACGAATCTCAATTTTCCAATTATCTTTAGTATATTTATTCTACTAATAGCAACTAAGACAATGTAATTCTGATGGACATAATTAGCAATTACCAGTATTTTTTGAAGCATAATAACCATTTTCACAAACAAGACAAGTGTAAGAAACCTTTTCAGGAACTAAATCATCACCAAGAAGATAAGTTGTTAAAAATTCTATTACACAATATAAACAATGTAATTTAAGTTTTGGACATTGATCAGTAAATGAATATATTAATGCATCTTGTTTATAAGAACCAAATAAACAAATTCTGTTTTCATACAATCCTTACATTCTTAAAAAGAATTATTTACAATTATTTATTTAACCTTTAATGCATATCAAATATGTATCATGAAAATAATAGCCATCTTAGCACTTTGCACATTTAGTTATTATTGTTTCATAATAAGGTTTAAAATTATGGTCTAATGAATTTATGGATAAATTTGATTCAGAAGTTTCAAATGCATATATACAATTCTCTATATGATTTCTTTTACAATCTTATGCATTTAATGATAAATAATATAATTGATTGTCAATACAACTTAAACATTACATTATTTGTAATTCATCTGAATATTTGCAACTTTTACATTAGTTTCCACACATTTAACATTATTCATTATGAAGTCCATAATATGGTTCACAAGATGTACATTTATTTAAGCCATAACAATTTTAACAGGATTATGGACATTATAAACATGAATATCCATCATCTGATATATAATACCCACTTAAACATTCTAGGCATGTTTATTCATTTTAATTTAATTTAATACATGCAAAATCTAATAAATTACAACTTAGATTTTAGTAATATCGATTTTGTTTACAAATACCAAATGTAACACTTTATAAGTGTTAAACATTTAATTCAAAACAATCATCTGTTTATATTTACTTGATATCACAATAATCATAAACTCCTTCTAATAATATCAACTTATAATCATTGTTGATGTAATATAAATCATAATCTAAAGTAGATCTTATTTATTTAGTAAAGACATCTTCATCTTTATTAACCTATTATGTGATGAAATCAGTAGTACAAATAGGTCTTTTATACCAATCTGTAGGATTTAATAAACAATCTACACAAAAGAAATTATAAGAACTCCATTGAGGACTACATATTATTATATATATACCATTCTATGCACAATTAAATTATTGGCAAATAAAAATATCCAAACATACATTAAGAATTTTATAATTCAATTTAAATCTCTTCTTAATTCAATGTTGGATATAAATCTTAATAAGATTAACATCTCTAATCTCTTTCAAAATATCCTAAAGGACATATACATTAATGTAATTCTTCCAAATAAACTCTTTCATTATTATCATAACAAGTTAAACAATCTGAAAACATTGGACCATTACAAGTTTAACAACTATAATGACAATCTAAATATAAATAATACTAATACTATATTCAATATTTAAATCTTCATAATAATTTGATATAAAATAAAACCCAGCTACTTATCCTTTCATCTTTTCATAAACAGTGTAATCACCTCCAAAAATAGCATAATATTTTGTATTTATAAATAAGCTATTATATTTCATATTTCCTAAATAATAGGTGTTAGATATCAAATTATTATTCTCAAAATAACTTAATTTAAATTAAGACCTTTAATCATTTCTATTTATTCCATGTTCAAATGATATAAAATGCCATTTAGATAATAATTCTAGATATGGCAAATCTTCTCTTAAACTGATTATATCATCCTATATATATTATTCTAATGGTCCAACATATGGCATATAATAATGATGGGATATGACATCATATCCACATTTTTTATAGTCTGTTAAATCTATATCTACTGTTATTTTAAGTATTTCATCTCCTAAATCTATTTCATCTTAGTAGTTTTTGAAAATTGTCAATCTAACTAAAAAATACTTTTTTAATTAATATGCATCTTATATATAATATTTAATCCATCCAAAAATACAAAATTTCCTTCCAAATTATTCAAATTCAAATTATTTTTATGCTACTCCATCAAAATTAAATAAGTCTGGAATCAAACTTATTGTTTATTAATATTCATTTTATCTTAATTAAAATATTCTGTCATAATATATTTAGAGAATTTCCTTTAATTCTCTAATAATGAATAATTTTGAAATTCTTCCTCTAAATATTCCTAATTCATATTTTTGATTAATCTAAAATTAATTAAATTAAAATTACAATTCCAGACCCCCCAACATAAAATTCCAAATTTTCTAATTATTTTTATACATTAAACTCATATATATTATATTACTAAATTGTTCCTAAAGTTTCAAAGTATATTCTTTATCCATTAAGAGTCATAACACTTAATATCCAAATCCCCTCATATTGATTTGGATTATACTATATATCAACCATATTTCCATTGACAAGCAAAGTATGAATGACAAAATTATCTGTTATCACGTTTGTATACATGAAAGCCAATATCTAATTATCATATTGTGTTTTCATCATAAATAATAGCTATCTTTTTATTTAGGTTTTATCTGGTTCTTTTTCCACCCAAGGGTAGGAAATCACTTACCAATTTGTTATGTAAAAACTCCAAAATTCAAATTATAATGGTTATTCAATCCTTGGAATATTATAAATCTCCATTGGATATGAATTACTAATCAATAAATTCTCGTTGAATTAAGAGCAAATAGTTAAACTAAAAACTATAGGTAGATAAAAAGAAGATGTTTTAATGTTCATATCCTTTTAGCCTTATTTAATATAATTATTAATTATTGAATCAAACCTGAAATTAATAAGATTTAGAGTGTCACTATTAAAATAATTAATGAGAAAAATTTTTTTCTTTTTTTTTATTATTTATTCTATGATTATATGCAATTGCTTCTTAAAATAAGTTAACATAATGAATATTCTAATTATGATTTATTTCTGAAAGAAATAATATTAGATAAATAACAATTATAGATTTTCAAAAAACGAAAAATTATCTAAAATGTTTAGCTTTTCCAAATTATTTTTGAATTAAATTAAAAAAGAAATACATTTTATACAATTATCTGACTAAATAAAAATAATTTTTTAATCATTTATTAAATAAACAATATACTAAATTTTTATTATTTAAGATATTTGATGTTGATGAATGCATTTATCAATTTTGAAAAGCCTATTTAGACTATTTAATTTCTAAAAAAAATAAATATTCTTTTCTATTCTAATTAATTAATGCATCCTAAGTAAGAAATTTAATATGAGACATTCAATTTATCTAAAGGAATTACTATTTAAGTTTGATACACAGATAAGTAAATTTTATTATAATTATTTTTTTAAAGTCAAAGGACGGACGATTAATATAAATTTTTTATTTTACACTCCTGTTAATCGAAAGTCTATTTAATTACACAAAATCTTATCTCGAGTATTTTACGAACTGATTTTTAGTGAATATTTCAAATCAAAACCATTTTAAAATATACTTTTTATGAGGAGTTAGTGGATTATATTAATAATTATTGGTTCCTTTTTTTTAGGCTATGGATAAATATGTATTCATCATCCAATAAAATCAATTTTAATTTATAGACTTTTATATTCAATATCAAAGATTATATTAATCCATTTTCCTTACAATTTATTTATGGTAAAAATTAGATGCTTTCAATTTTATATACTCTAATATCAATAGCATTTTGATCTTGAATGTATTCTTGTTTGATGCTCAATTCAGATATCTCAGTTATAAGAAATAAGTAAACAAAAAATCGCAATAAATCAAATATTAAAAAAGTCAAATTGAATAAGAAAAATATTAGGCACTTACTTCAATTCTTTATTATAATAATTAATGATGCCTTTTATTTTTTTTAATATAAAGATTTAAACCAAAAAAACAATTTTTATCATATAATTTTTATGTTATAGACTTATAATGTCTTTATAATCCTATATGATAATATTAAAAGATTGTTATATTATTTTTTATTAAATATGAAATAACTATTAAATTGACAATCTTAATATCATAATAAATAATGAATATCACTTCACCTCATATAATAAAATTCTATATTATCTGACATCTTCAGAATTATTGACTAAAAAATATCGCTACTATTTCATTTTATCACTTTATCTAATCTTTTTTGGATTAACTCTTGTCATAAAAATGGCTGAAAATTTCTTATTCTAAATTTCAATAGGCGATGCATAACCTCTATTTATACAAACATTAAACTAATCAGAAAAGTATATTCCATTTCCAACCCTAACTTAGTTTCCAAATTCATCAGTACATAAATCATTTTAATAATAACTCATTTCTCCTGGTTTTAATGTAGTCTTTATAATATCCTTTACATATTCGTTCCTTGTTCCATGAAATAATATTCTCCATTCATCTTTGTTACCATTCATTTTTATCCAGTTTTAATCTTCTCCATATTTGTCAATATTTAAACCATAACCTTAGCATCCTTTTGGAAAATAATATTCATAACGATAATTTGGAGGTCCTCTTTATTCAGAATCTTTAATACTATTCCAAGTCATATTATACCTGTGGTCAAAATCTTCTAGTTTTATTCCTATCTCTGATTTTTTTTATTCATTGCATTTAACAAAATAATTATAAATATCAATTTTCCCATTACAATTTTGTTCAAAAAATTACATTAATTCTGGATCATTATTTAAGTCACCTTTACTCTAAATTTTGAATAATATAATGCTACTTCCTTTTGTAATATCTAAGATAACAACATCAGATGGACTAACCTTCCAAATTTTAGAAATATTTTCCTTAAAATTTAATAGATATTATTCTCTAAACATAATATCAGATATTAATTATTAATATTCCACTTCTGTTGTTCTGAATCTAAGACAATATTAATCTTAACCAAAAGCACCTATTATAGAATCAAAACCACAAGAGTTTATCCCATCAGTCATAAATATTTCTCTATTTTAATCTCTTGCTAAAGCTTCTTTTAATACATAAAGCATAAGTTCTTAATTATTTACTTCTATTTTTTGATCAATCTATGGTATTTTTATTGATGAAACATGTTCACTTTATCTTAAAACTTACATTAATTATAATTTCAATCTGCTCTTTCTATATTTTCTTTGGTCTTCGTTTATTTCATCTGAGATTTAATCTAAAGTTTATATTTCTTTTTATAAATGTTCTATTTATTCTTTAATAGTGTGTTTATTTTTGAGTCTTATTTCGCTTTAAATATTATATTAAATGAAGGCAAAATTATCATCATTACTTTTATTTTATTAAACAATCTCACTTTTGTATTTTTTTGCATTATTTTATTTAAAAATTTGACTTGGATTAGACATTTTAATACTTTTTATTATTATGATAGAATTATGATATATTTAATAAAATTAACTAATTTCATAAACACTTTTTTATATCATTCTTATTAAAATATGAGAGCTATATGCTTAAAATTCCATATGTATAAATCAATTAAATTTCACTCATCAATAAGCTTATCAAAATTAATTTTCAATTATTGTTAAAACACTTTTAATAAACTTAAAATACAATCAACTAATTAATTCTATACCAATAAACCAATCTTCCTAAACAATATTTTTAATAGGAAATCTAATTTCATTTATTAATTTTTTATTGATCTAGTAATTATTTTACATTCAATTTCAAAACTTCAAAATAACATTAATAATAAAAATAATATAATCAATAGTTCAATTTTTATTAATTTAATAATAATAATTAAAACTATATATGTCTAAATCTAGAAATTAAAAATATTTTCAATGATTACAACATTTTCTTTCGCATTTATGCATTTTTATTAAATAACAATCTTATTTTTATCAGATCAATTTTTGATGTCATTTTCAATGAGATGTATTTTCTAATAAACTAAAATTAATATAAATTATAAATGGTAAAATAATAATTCATAAATTTTCTTAGAAATGTAAAGAATTACAATATCCTTTTTTAATTTGAAATATTTTTTATAATTAGAATTTGGATTTATGATTTGAAAAAAGGAATAAATAAATGAATTTCTTTAAATTATTAAGATATAGTAAGAAGTATTATAATTCTTGATTTAATAAATATATCTTTCACCAATTATAAGTTTTATATTTGATTAATTATAAACATACAAGAGTGATATTTTAATAACTAAATATTTTTAATTTTAATCAAAATTATAAATACTTAACTGATTCTTTCTATTTAACTTTCTAAATAAGATTCAATAATTCGATATATTTATTTTATTCTAAATAATATTAACTATATTGATTAAATAAATCCAAACTTAGATAAAAATATTCATAACAATTTTGGTTTATTGAAAGTAGATCAAGCTATTTACCACAACCATGACTTATATTCTAATTATTTCTTTTTTTAATGTATTCTTTAATATATTATTATTTATTTTAATACTCTAGAGTTGATATATCATTAGTATTAAATAATTAAATAGTTGTCCAAAACTAATCATCAAATATACTATTATCTTCATCTTAAACAGAGATTTTACAATAATGCACATTATTGCTATTAGATTGACAATACCAAACTAAATAACAATTCTAGCAAACTTTTAAGGAATTTATTATTGAAGCTTAATTCTTTGACAAATAAGATAATGCTTATTAATTAAGTTATTTAATTTCTAAAAACCAATCTTGCTATATCAAATATTCAACTAACTTTTCTACTGAATCAAACCAATCTATATTAAAAGTTTCCTAATATTATTAATTATTTGATATCTTATTTAATTATTATATTATTTATTTTCTTTCTTATATTAATAATTAAGTATATATTTTTATTTCATTTTAGACCTTAAAATAAATGTCATCTGCATCTACTGATTATTCAAACAATTATTATGAAAATTTGAATTTATTTGAAATCATTTTTCTTAGTTTAGTAGAAATATTAGATATTTCTTCCATTAATTAAAAAACATCTTCTTCTAATTCAGGTTCATCAAGTAAATCAAAATAATTTAAAAATTCTTCTTAAGTAATTTCTATTTATATTGGTATTGAATTCATTAAATATTAATTAATTTAATTACAAATAGACTATCCTGAGTCATATAATTAAAAAAATAAAACATTTTATATTCCAAATTTTTTCATCTCGTTTTGTATATTTTATTTATCTATTTATTATTATTTACATTGATCAAAATGAGTAACAGCAACAATAACCATATTGCGATATCTACGTAATATTATAATTTATTTGAGTAATTATTTTACCATTAAAAAAAGTAGTTCAAACTTTAGAATTATAATAATTTTGTTTAATGGTTTTTCTTACATGGCATTCCAAATTCCTACTGCATGATTAATTTTTTTTTATTAAGTACCTAAACCTGGAGTATCAATTATATAAAATTCATTACAATAAGCTGATTTACCTAGAATAGATTACCTATTAAACTTATTTAACATAAAATTACTTTGTTATTGATCTCATACCTTCACCTACATTTTCTTAAGCATTACAAATTTTATTGAACAAAGTCGTTCTACCTGAACCAGTCATTCCAATTAATACAACAACAGACTTCTCTTAATTTTTTTCAGAATGATTTTTTCCATCTTTTTAAGATATGTTTTAATTTTATTATTATTATTATTATTGTATAAATATTGTTTGATATTATTATGAAGGTTATATAAATTAATTCGATATTTCATTCATGTTGTTTTATAATTCAATATTGTTATTTTCATCTTATGATTTCATTAATTTAGATATTTATTGCTCTAATAATTGCTTTCTTTATTCTTCTATCTTATATTTTGCTTTAAGTTCATTCAATTAATCAAATACTTTTTAATAGTCTAAATCCTTTTTTGTCAATTAATTTAAGTTATCGTTTAGTTATTTTTCAATTTCAGTTTTTTCTTTTTATGACTTCTTTAATTTATCTTTATTTAGAATGCTCTGTAATTTACTTCTTTTAAACTTTTAATTAAATTACTTTCTACTATAAATAAATAATTTAATTATTTGCTTGTTTATTTTTTGATTAAATTTTTTATTCTATAACTTTAAAATTAATTAAATCTTAATTGTATTAATTTTTCATTTTCTCAAATTCCATAACTATATTATTTTTATCATTTTATAATTAAGTAAATTTATTTTAAATGTCTGTATATTAAACTTAAATTTTAATCAATTCTTATTCAATCTTAATTTTATCATTAATTATACTTGTAGTTTCTAACAAAGTTTAATCTTGAATCAATTTGATTTAATTTTCCATTTCATATTTAAAATTTACTTAAGTTTATTGTAAAAGTTCTTTTAAATTATTTAATTCATCTTCTTTTATCCTTATCCTATCTTCTATTTTACTCTTTTCAATTTTCATCATTTATTTTTCATCTTCTAATAGATTCTTTTTCTCTTCAACTTATTTTAATTATTCAAGGTATTTTTAATTTAATTATAGATAATCTAAACAAATTTTCAAATTTTAATTAGCTTTCAAAAGAGAGTTTTACATTTTTTAATATCCATCTAATTAGATTTTATATTCTAAAAAGAATGAGTAAATTTTTTATATTGTTTTCACATAATTTTCATTAAAAGTGCCAAAAAACATCATTATTTAATATAACATATAAACATCACCTTCAATAAATCTTTATAATATTAAATTAAAATTTTCTAATTTTTTTATATTTTCATAGACTTCTTAAATTTTTTAAGTTTAATATTGTTTGTATTAAATATCTTTCAAAATTTAGAATAAACTATCAGATAACTCTTAACTTGCATTATCTATAAAATTATTCACATCTTTATAAATATTTAGATCATAAGGTTTCATTGATATTACTTTAGAATTAATCAGTTCCATCCACATCTTTTTTCTGTATTCATTTGAGAGATACTTTTCTATTTTTTCTGTTTCATCAATATCCCTTTATACTTTTTTTACTATAAGAATTGATTATTACTGTTAATTTGCTTAAATCTATATCAGCTTCATTAATAAAATTTTATAAATCTTCTGCTTTATTTTAAAATTAATCACCTGGATTTAATAGAACATAGACTATTTTCATTTTACTTAAAGAAACTATTTTGTTAAAAAATAATTGAATTTCCAATTAATCTTTGCCTTCTGTATCATTAAAACCAGGATAATCAATAATTGAATGTTAATACTCTTAGTCATAATAAATTTTAGGTTTTTTAGTAGTTGAATCTAATCCACCTTTAATTTCTTGATATTTATCTGATTTTGAAAGAAGTTCAAGATTTCTACTACCATATTCATCTTCACATAATTAAAATTGGGCTCCACATAAAAAATTATATATTGTGCTTTTACCACAACCTGTTTTTCCAATTAACATTATTACATTATCTTAATTTTAAACTTAAAAATTATCTAATTGTCTTTCTATCTTTTCTATTATCATCATTAATCTTTATTATTACTCTTCTTTTTGTTTTTCAAACTGATTTTAATCCATATAATAAATAATATGTTTAGTAAATATAAATTATTATATATTTTAATCATATTTATATAAAAAATGTAATTGAATACTTTTTTTCTCTTATTTATAATGATTATTGATTATAGCAAATAAAGATTATAAATTAGATGATATAATATAAATAATTAAATCAAAAAATTGTATAATATATTGAAATTATTTGAATTTATAAAAAGTATTAATATAGAAATTATTTCAATTATTTAATATTTCATAAATTTCATATTTGTTTTTTTCTGCACCCCAAAATATTAAATATTATCCATTATTTGTTATTGTTCCATATATACACTAATGTTTACAATCAAATTCCTAAATAATTTATAATTATCCATCATTTTACGCTTTAAGTAAACAAATATGTTATAGATGTCTTAAACATATTAAATTTTTATCTTCATTATAAATTATTGGAAAATTAAATTCATTTAAATATCCTTAATTTTTTTAAAAACAAACTCTCTTATATAAATTCTCTTTAAATTCACCATCTTAATATTCAAATACACACAAGTTATTACTTTTTTCAGGTAACCAAATAAATTAATTTTCTTTTAAAAATTTAACATGACATCCAATCTCTTATAATGTTTACTTAACTACTTACAAAAACTTCCATTTATTATTTTTTCCATTCTACCAGATTATAATTTAATCAACTCCACTAGAAACCATTATTTATTCTGATTAATTTAAACTTAAAGAATATATAATACCAGTATGTTTTTCTAATGAATATAGAAATCTCAATTAATCATTGTTAAAATCTACCATCCATATTTTAATTGATTTATCATTACTACTTGAAATTAATTAATCTTCTTTTTAAGTTAAAATTACACAATAAATCATTCCTTTATGCTCATTATATCTTTTAGAACTCTACCATTTATTATTCACATATTTCCATAATCTAATTGACTTATCTGAAGAGCCAGAAATAAAAAATTATTATATTTAACTATATACTAAACAATTAACAAATTCTTAATGTTCTTAAAGTGTTTGAATTAAATTAATTTTACCATTATCAAAATTCCAAATTTTAATCTCCTTTCCACTTGTTGATACCATTATCTTTCCTTTTGGATCAAATACAATTGCTCTACAACCTTCTTTTTATTCAATTGAATCATCAATAAATTATAATGTAACTTGGTTTTATTATTATTCTTATATTGATTAATTTAGATTATTCAATATTTCATTACAAATTTCGTATTCTGAAAATGATTTAAAAAATTAGAAATGATTTCTAATTTTTTTTATCCAACCATCATTTAATAAGTTAATCTAATTTTTAAATTATTTATGATCTTCCTTATTTTATTTATTCATTATTATTAAATTAATCTCTTTAAAAAAACTATACTCGGTGTATTATTATATTATTACTTCTAAATTTTATATCCAATTCTTTGTGATATCAAGTAAATAATCTAATTTTTAATTAAGATTAGACTTTAAAGAATTTATTTGCATTTACAAAGATTCTACTTTTTTAATGTTCTTTGTAATTGTATTTTCAAAATTTGATAATAAATTCTTCCTATTATCTTCCATAATATTAATAGCTTTCTATAATCCAAATAACTTGTCAAAATTAAATTCATTATTATCAATGCATTATTAACATAAAAGTCTTCCATTTACATTTTATTTAGAATCTAGTATAATCATTGTGACAGGTAATTCATGTTTCATGTAACAATTAAGATCTTTCTCATTTTCAATCATTTTTGGTTTATACATTATTAATTTTTTCAATAGCTTTTATTTATATTAAAAATTTTGTTATTTATATTATCAAAAATGAGACTTCTTAACATAGAAACATTTCTTTTCTTCAAATTTATGTTGAACTTAATTTAATTCAACTATTTCTTTCCTTTTAAATCTAAAAATAACTTTATAGATCCCTTATGAATATTAATGAATAATTAATAAATATATAAGAGTTAATATTCTTAATAAATTTGAATTATAAATTTTAATAATATTTATTTAGTCATATATCTTAAAGTATTTAGATAATAAATATATTAAAATTGCTGTTTTTTTATGCAAATTAATATTAGTTTATATTTTACCAAACATTAAATATTTAGGCATATAGATTATTGTTTTATATATCTATGTTCTTTTATTAAAAGTTTACAGAATCTTTGTTAATACAAATAGTATTAAGAATTAAAAAAAATATTAATCATCTGATTCAGTAAAGATTGAATTTGATTTTATGATGTAAAATGAGTAGGTTGATTGAAAGAGAATTCTGGAAGCCCTTCAAACATGAGTGAAAGTTTTAGTAGGTTATCCTCTTCATATTAAAGTATAATATTTAATTTAATTAAGTCATAAACAAAAATAATATTATTATGAAATTGAATAATCAATTACTATGGCTATAATATAATGATTTTTTTAT